TTTTCAACCATTGAATGCCCTCCAAGCCCAAATTATTATCATCAGCCCACCCCCCTGATATTCATTTTTCCATGATTTTTGATGCCCCCCTCCCTCCAACCCCATGTGGAAACTATCAATTGGAAATTCTCAGAAGTGCCCAATTGATGGGTTTTTGCTTTTGATTGGGCACTCTTGATTGAGAGTTTCCAATGGATGGTAGTCTCTCTACCAACCTCTGGATGGTTTCACATTCCCAGCATCACTTGGACTCTTTTGAAAGCTTCCAAATTCAAGTGATGCTTGACACACCATAAAAAACTTCCCCATGGTGTACATAAGCATTCTTCATTGATAGAAATGAAAAACATCTATGTGTGCATTTCCCCGAGGTCACTAAGATATAAAATCTCTTTTAGTGTGTTTTGCTTCCACATCACAAATACCAGCAAATTCTTAGCCTCTTTTTGCCTTTTTTACCATTCTTTCTCTCCTTGAGTATTTTGCCTCAAATTTATTTTCTGGCCACTCATCACCTCTTCCTTTGCCTCTTTTTAAAATTTCATACCTTGATGACCAGTCTGCATGTTTACTGACTCAGTGTCCCATTGGAGCTCAAGCTTAACTAAGCCTCTCTGGAGGGGATGTAAACTTGGAGGGACTCACATTAAGTTTGACTGATCTTGTGGTCATCCAAGGAAGAATTTGGCATGTGCAAGGATTCAAGTGCCACTCAAAGCATTTCTAAGAGAGCCGCTATTAAGCACAAAAGGGACCAAATTTGATGACTCATGTCAGCCTTAGAGATACTCCAGAGTATCCAAAAGACTGCTAAATGAATATTAAGTATTAAAATACTCCACATGTAATATAATATGTAGTAATATTATTTAATAAAACAATATTTCATAAGATTATAAAGGGGGTTGTCCACTGGAAGTATTCCCAAATTCCCACTCCTTCAAGGACTTTGTATATATTCAAACTCTTGAAGGAAAAAAGGAATAAAAATATATAAATTTATAGAATAAAATTAATGTATATTAAATTAGGGTTAAATATACATTTAGGGTAACCTTAGAAATTTTATTCTACAAGCATAATCAATTTATTAAAACTTGTAGAAAAGAAATTACCACACTATGTCAAGAGTGTGGCACTTTCTACTAGTAGTATTCTATTTTAAGTAGACACATGATGTAATTGGCTATAAATATGCATCATGATGTCATGGGACATAGAATATACATTATTTGAAATACCTTGAATTATTCCCATTACATCAGGGGAATAACTCTACCATGGTAGACCAAAGAGAGATTCTAGAATATTCTAAGGAGGGCCTCAAGGGGACCTCTAGAATATTTAAGGAGGCCTTCTCCTGCCTAGGATTGGTTCCTCAGCATATTCACCCCCAACAAACTAAGTGAGTACAGTGAATATTCTCCACCTACTTTTAGAGTAGTCTTTTTTATCATCCAATCCAACCCTACCTTCTTACTGGAATTATTATTAAGCTGAGAGTTATCCCAGACTCAACACTTAAGTAATTCCTTAAAAAGTAGTTGCTGCAAGACCACCACCTCTGACTGTAGCCTTTCAGCTCAGGTGCTTGCCAGCTACTTCTTGCAATATTAATTATTGCTTCCAAACACTCTACAATAACTTTTCTGTTATTGTCTCCTACAGTGCTCTCTTGATTATTCAAGTGTCTTTAACTGAGGAGTGTGGACTTTATAACCTCTTAAGTGGGAAGTTTGGACCACTTAATACTTTGAGGGTTACTAGGAGTAATCTTGGTCTTTAACCTGAGTCCTTCAGCACAGTGATAGTACTTGGCTTTTATATTATTAAGCCAAAGTTTCATACACATAGCTGACAACTCAAGTCAGCACTTGGGCTCCAACAGTCTGGCTAAACAACCTGTCACACATCCCTGGTGGCTATCAAACCTGCAACCTACTTCTGCCTTTGTCAGCTTGCTCCTCAGCTGCTATCCACTTGTCTTTTCCAAATTCACCCATTTCTGCTCTTTCATCAACTCCTCTGAATATCCTACATATACAAATTAATGAAACCTAAAATCCACTCATTCATAGATCTATATTTATCCCCTCAACTTGGAAGTTCCAATCACTCCAACTTGCAGTTCTGGAAGGATAAAAATATAAATCAAATTAGCCAAACTGCAAAAAAATCAGATAAGACAAAAGCAAGCAAAAAAAAATGAGAGAAAAACAGAGAGAATCAAGGCCATGAACAAGAAGTGATCTTCATGTTATTTGGTATGTAATTCAACCTACTTTTGAGTGTGTTGCAGGAGGACTTGAGGAGGCATTGGAGGACTTCCCCTTGCCATTTAGAGTGCGTTTTAAGCCCTCCCAAGTCCTAGATTAACACCCCACTTGTAATTTCATCCATCTCACATGAGACTGGTTTCTAAAAGGCTTGTACAAAAATTTTTTGGGGCCAAAAATGAAGATCTAGGGGGTGTAAATTGGATTCTGGGAGGGTTCTAGATTGTGACAGGAAGTCATCCATTGGTCATATCAATCATTGGATAGCCACTTACTTTTGGCCGGTCCAGAATTATAACTGACCCACAACCTCTGTGACATGATTTTTCTGGCCTGTCAATACCAGCCACTCCACTTTTGGACTACTATAGATGCTCTCAGCATGTCAAATCAAGCCCTTTGGGCTTATACCAAGACCCCTGTGACACTTGGTCATCTAAGAATTTATATTGCATTCAGATAGGCTTGATGCCAATCTTAAAAATTCCCCTCAACAGAGGGGCAGGGGAACCTTTCAAAGCAAGCCATTGAAAGAGGGGCAGTCAAAATTTTGGCCTGAAAGCTGACACTTTGTGGCTTTTTTGGCATCTCACTCTCCACTGCCCCTTACTCCCAGCCCATCCAACCAAGAAGTTAGCAGTAAACTTTGCCACATAGGAGAGCATAAAAGACATTTCTATCCATATTTTTAGCTAAAATATGTTGCTCACACTTATTCATCCTTTGGATAGAAATTGAGGGACTTGTTTTGAGGTGAAAATGAGCTTACTGCATATTATTAATATGTGGTGCAACAAAGAATTTTCAGCAAGGAACCTGAGGACCTCCATCCACCTCAAAGCAAAATTGATTTTTTGAAAGGCAGGTGGGGCAGAATCTAGAGGGCCCCTGAACTTGTGGGTAAGACAGAGAACTGCAGAATAAGCAGACCTGTTGACTAGTCCAGACTCCAAATTTCTGAAGATAATTTGATGGGGGAGTGGGGGCAAATGTCAGGCCCAATTTTTCTCTATACTTTGCACCAGCCTGATTATACAAGGCCCTCCAGTTGAGAGGCTTAGGTTAAGTTAGCTGATGGGGCTTAGGTTACGTGAGCTGATTGAGCTTTGGTTTAGTTAGGCTCAATACACCATATTTTGTCCTATCCTCTTTTCTGGCCATGCATCTTGAGAATCAACCATCTCATTGTGAACCCAATCTTGTGAATTGAGAAGGGTCTGGCTAAAATGAAATCTTTGTCCTTGGGAGTTTCCAAAATTTAGAGCCACAATCACACATTTCCCTAGTTTTACCTGATGATAGACAACAATTTCCTTGTAGGGTTATAACAGTTTACCGGGTAGGATTCCTCCTGCTTGAAACCGCACTATCCACCAACAGATTATCCCACAAAACTGGTACAACATGGACCGCTTTTCTCGAGGATAATGTTTCAAGCCAACAAGGAGGATTGATCAAGTCGAAACGCTGAACCTATGAGGCCATTGCAAACAAGACGCGAGACTTGAGGGCACGTAATTGCAGAAAAAAAGTACAACACGCAGTCGATGTGGCCAAGCTCCATGTAGTCATAACTTGTCGATTTGGACCTTTCCACTGCCGATAGGAAGCGATTGAGGTACATACACAAGAAGTCATTTACGCACCAATGACTCCATTATATTTCCGTACAAATGCTGGAACTCGGACCCCTCATGACGATTGAAGGACAGTTAAAAACTTAAGAGGTGCTCGGGGATAAAAAAAACAAGGAAGCCAAGTCTACTAGGCGAAAGGTACCGCTTTCTTGCAACTGCGACTCGACAGATAACCATGGCAAACTGATTGACCGACGGCCATGTATGCAGTCGGCAACTCCGGCGATTACCAGTCGTGTTGCTTAACGGGCTGTTTCAAATGACAGCTGTGATCCTGGAAAGGTTTGGGGGATGGAATAATTATCGATCTACAAGGCCCAGAGTGGCATGTACGAATATATAAATCAGCTCTTTGCTTTGCCGAAGATAAGCAAAAAGTCAAATACCACGGAGGAGATTCAGAAATATCGTTGTGGAACTTGTTTCAAATCGAGCTCCTACGTTCCGCGCAAAATATGCGTATTTATGTATCTATAGATTAAAAATGGAATTGACAATTTCCTGCCAGTCCATCAGGCGAAACAATTTCTGGGCCGTTTCAGGTTGAAGTTTTCGCAAATTCAGGGTACATTTTTTTGTAGACCTACACACATCACTCAAGGTCCGTAGAGATGCTAACCAATGGCTTTGAATTGCGCTTGAAACCACTGAAGAAGTTTTGTCGGGGTGTGCACTCTCCAGAAAGTGACGTATCGGTCTCGATAAGGACCGCATACAGAAATCAGGATGCCAGGAACGGTTTCGTCTGTATCAATCTCTTATCTCTCGAGGTCTTCAGCAAATAGCCTCCTCGGGTCGACTGTCTGCTTATCAAACATGAATCATTGAGAGATACATCATATTCACACCGGATCGAAAGATCGATGTATGAATCGCTACGTATACATACTTGTCCCGTTATTTGCCTATCGTTATCTTCGGTGACGCTGATAAGACGAGAGCCCCTATGTCCGCAACAAACTTATAAGTAACTTTGATCAAGCCATCGGCTGTCGGCGTATTCCCAACCCATCATCACACCGGCCTGGACGTGCCCGCCTCCTCAAAGTCTTTTAAATTTTGATACCTGTCCAAGAATCAACACACCATGGAGTCCGACCACAAAGGGTTTCAACATCGGGGCACTTCCTACGCAGAATCCGAAATGAAAAAGCATGCCGACCATGGATTTTACGAGACGAAAGAAGTTAACGCTGTGTCGTCTACTGCCGGTGATGTTGCGATTGGCGAGAACACCGTCCACCGGGCTCTTGAGCAGAGGCACATTAGCATGATTGCAATTGGTGGAACCATTGGCGAGTCTCACCGCACATCCAACTGAACTCGATTGCACTTCAAAGAATATGAAGTTGTTTTCGAAATATTATCAACATGCTAGTCTACCACGGCAATTCTAACATTTTTTGACTTATATTTCTATAGGAACCGGACTGTTCTTGGGTATGGGTGAGGCTCTCAACAAAGGAGGACCTCTTGGGCTTGTGCTTGGATACTTGGTGATGTGAGTTACCACAAGGAAAAGTCGGGAACAAAACAAGGCTGCAATGTTCAACACTAGAGGCAAAAGAAATTGACTTCTTCACATTGTTTTATTCCAGGGGACTCGTTGTTTATGCCATGACAGTAGCTTTGGTTTGTTAAGAATACTTACACATTGGAAATTGTTTGACTTCCATTTGTTGTAGTTATAATTAACTCGTTCTGTTTGATTTTGATTCCACAGGGAGAGATGGTGACAATGTTCCCGGTCTCTGGGTCATTTACTCACTACCCATGTCGTTTCGTAGACCCAGCGCTTGGCTTCGCCGGTACGTCCCAATAAGCAACTGATTTGCATTTGGAAAACTGATTTGATCGCATTCATCATGTAATTATCTTCTCCATCAAGTTGGATGGAATTACTGGTAAATTCTTGCATACCTCATTGCCAGTATCTGTTGTGAGTTCAGGTGTTGATACTTCTGTTGGGCTGTTCCCCATAGGTATTCGATGACAATCGCCGTCCCGAGTGAGGTTATCGCATCCGCCATTGTCGTGGAGTATTGGAAAACTCCCGTGAATAAAGCAGTTTGGGTGACACTGGTATGCTGGTTCGAGATTCAAAATTGGGGCGAGTCTTTTCGATAGCTAATATGGCAATGTTTTTCCCAATCCCCTACAGTTCATTGTACTCGGATGTGCGATCAACTTCCTCGGGGTGAGATGGTACGGAGAGGTTAGTCTCAATTATCACAAACCATCAACTTTACCTGCGCGTCTGGTAGACTAAAACAGTTGCCTTCACCCTCTTCACAGACAGAATTCGCGTTCGGTGAGTTGCAGGAGGTGTTGCTTTCATTTTGGCGCAATGCTTTGAGCGACTAATTGCTTCTCATACTCTTATCCTTGTGACCCACCATCAGCCGCGGTAAAGGTCGTCGCGGTGGTCATCCTGATTCTAGTCGGAATAGTTATTGATTTAGGTACATACGCATTTACTTCTCCAAATGCGTTCATGTGCGCGACTTACTAATTCGTTTTTCGCCAGGCGGGACACCCACTCACGACAGGATTGGACTTCGGTAAGCTTCTCTTGACAACAGAAAGCTCGCGAAGTTTGCTCACAGCCGCTAATGATGCTCTCCCGCTTTCAAACCTCAATCGAACAAACTTATTGCACGCAGGAATTTTATTAATCCCGGACCATTCAACCAATTACATGAGATACCAGGAGCCGTTGGCAGGTTCTTAGCTTTCTGGTAAGTCCATGTGATTGATCGGACGGGTAACCACTGCATATCCAGAAGCTGATTGCGTTGGTGAATAGGACGGTATTTCTCCAAGCAACTTACTCTTACATGGGAACAGAAATGGTCGCAATCACAGCCGGCGAAGCCGCCAATCCTCGAAAAACCGTACCCAAGGCCATTGAACGAGTCTTTTACCGGTCCGCAAGTTTTCTGGGCTACTGCGCTTTGGATTTTGTGCGCAATTTACTGACGATTGTTTGATCTTACCGGACGGCTGTTTTGTTTTGATCAGAATCTTGGTTTTCTATTTGGGAAGCACCCTTACCGTCGGTCTTTTGGTCCCTTCCTCATCCCCGGATCTCTTGGGGGGTACTGGTGATGCCAGCTCTTCGCCATTCGTAATTGCAATCAAAGCTGCTGGAATCACCGTACTTCCTGATTTGATCAATGTCGTCATTCTGGTATCAGCGATTTCGGCCGCAAGCTCTAAGCTTTGTCAGTCGATACAATTTTGATTGCAACAACAGCTCAAAAACTAAAATTTGCTTACCCATCTATAGACGGTGGTAGCCGAGTTTTGTTCGGCCTTTCAAAAGATGGAATGGCACCTCGAATATTCTCTAAGTGCAACGGTTCTGGGCTACCCATATGGGCATTAATGGCAACTTGTAGTGCTGCTGGTCTCTCTTACATGTGCCTGAATAACAAAGCGAGTCTTGCCTTCCAATGGTTCCAGAATCTCTCAGCTATGACTGGTATCTTGACGTGGTGGGCAGTTTTAGTAGTACGTACCGTTTTCAGCAGAGATTTCACCCAACCCACCTCCAACAATACCCTTAACCACTTGCTTGCATCGCTAGTCCTACCTATTTTTTTACAATGGCTTGAAAGTCCAGGGTTATAGTCGAGACGCATTACACTATAAAGCTCCATTTCAACCATATGCTTCCTGGATAGGCGTGATTATGCTCACGCTCATTATGTTCATGAGCGGCTTCGAGACTTTTCTGAAAGGTGACTGGTAAGTCACAGACTTCACCCACAATTCTAATTGCACGATCACCTGCAGTCAACCCCAGTCAAAAGCTTAAACCATGTCTCATCCCTCAATTTATGGCGAAACAGGTCCACCTCAGATTTTCTAGCAAGCTACTTGACACTCCCAATTTTCTTGGGCTTCTACCTATACTGGTTGGTTGAATCGGGATCTTTCTGTTGCATGGTATTTTAGATTATATGAAGGCGCAAAACCATCGACTGACACTCCCACTTGATGTTAACTTCAGGAAAATTACCAAGCGAACCAAATTCGTAAGTCCCAAACATATGGACTTTGTTACTGGGACACGTGAGCTAGACGAAATGGATGCACTGGAGAGAGAAAAGGCAGTCGTTCCCACCACGAAATGGGGCAAATTCATTGACTGGGTTGGTTTCTCTCACTCTTTCACAACGGGAGTACCTTTTTCTCAATTAAGAAAACCTGAAGCTGAATCCTATATTTGATGAATATTTACTCCGCAGTTAATGTAAATGTTTTCTTGGCTCCACCCCCCTCTGGAAGTATTGTTTTCGAGGTATTGGAAGGTCATGCCACAAGAGTGAAGCATCCCTATTACCTTCCACTTGGATGCTTTCCGCTGCGTAGTTATCGCTAGATGTACAGTCTTTAATATCTCCATTCTATTTGTAATAAACTGTAAACCAGCACACGAGTCGACTCATGAACACCCAGCCTTCAAAGCTGATTCTAAACATCGAGCTACGACATCACACAAGCGCAGAAATAGATCCCAATAGATAGGACTCATAGAGAAATTCAATTCAATGAATATTATGATATACCCAAGGGAATTGAGCGGCAAATCAGACGATCTCTTGAGGGTATCAGTAGATGATTTGTGAATCAAGTTCACAGTTTCCTGGCATGGAACAATTAAGTTAATTGTTGCGCAGGCATGTCTACCGCAATCAGACTTGGCTAAGGTGACAATAGAGGAATAAATAAATAGATTTACCTCGAACCATTTCATGGACTTGAGAAAGATCCAACCGGACCGATGGGGGTTTGTCTATCATGTTCCTCCCTTCCCTGAGCCCCTATGGTTCCTCAATTTTTTGGTCAACATGAGACAAATACCATTGATGATAGGGATGGACGCCTCAAAGCATCTTACGGGTCGCGACAATTGAAAAAATCAGCCAAATCATCGTGTCTCTTTACTCAACCGTATTGGTTTATTCAAAATCATAGAACATTGTCACAAATCACATGACTAGTTTTCGAAAACATCTACAATCTATTCTGGGGTTAAGATTTGTTTACCTTGCGTAAAAAGTGGATAAATGGCTGACCGGCTGAGAGACTTAACTTTCTCGATCGATAAACAGAGCAACTAAACTTCGCAAGCTATTTAATATCCCTTCTGGTATTGAGCAGCTCATTTTAGAATGAAGCACTTCAAAGATGAGTTTTGAACCAGTTTACAATTTCCACAAAGCTTTTATCGAATGCCTCCTTTTCAGCTGCTTTGCTCTTTTTTCGGAGCAAAGGTTAAGAGGGTGTCAGAGATCGGTGCCCATTTGTGGCAACACTTTTATAAAAACGTGACCCTTACCAAGTCGGCTCGACAGCCAAAACCATGAGTTGCACCAGGATAATAGTTTCGTTTGTAGCCACACTTGTACTTGATCGACAAGAATAGATCGAAAAAATCACAACTCAGCAGCAGCATGGTCAGCAGAAAGGGAATAAATTCTTACTTTGCCATCGCCTAAAAATTTCATCTGCCTTTTTCTGGGCTTCCGCCGTAAATTGTTGATCGCTTAAATTTGATACAAACCGTTGCTTAGTCACGTGCATCCTGCTACAGGGAGAGGGGACTAGCTTACATCTCACAGGAGTTAATCAGAAGGGGAACTTTACTGGTTTCGAGTAAATTGTTAAGATCATCGGGTATTTGAAGTAAGCTTGGGTGACAAGTGGCTCCAACGTGGATCCAGTTCTTCTGCGAGGTCATGAAGACGTATTTTCCACCTGTGGAGTGGAACAGGGACCCGAGTGAGCCTTTCGACAGCCGGCACTGATTGGAATTGTACAGTTCTAACGAGATCAAGAGAGACTAGCCTCAAATCAATGGAGACTTACCAAAACAATAACCAACAGCGGCAAACTTGTTGACCCCTTTTTCAGTGAGATTCTGCATCACGCTTTCGATTATTGGAAGAACCTTTTCTGGTCCATGTCCTTTGAGCCAATCTGCGAAAACGAAATCACCGTTGCCCGGCTCAGGTGCGCAATCGCCTGAGAACAAGTCAAGTAAGTAAGTGGTGACATTGACATCTCCGGCGAGTCTGTCGGCGATTAGTTGACAGTTCTTCAAATGCACTCCATAGATATCTGGAAATATCAAGATTGCTTTTTGAGGAATCGGTTCGGGTGGAGTCGCTATGTAAACCTGGACGTTATTGACCGTCGATAGAACTCCAGTGGGCTTGCCTGAAAACAATGGGTCGACGAACAGAAGCAGAATCACCAAGAATTCAGATATCATTGTGAATCAAGCCAAATCCCCGAGCAGTCCGCAATACCTTCGTGAATGAAACCTGCGACAAAGTGAAGACTGGTCAGGTACACCGAGCAAGCTGATCACTTATATCAGTTGGAAAGTGGAAAGATCATGTCGACTCTTACGACTGATGCATTGCTCTCCACAAGTCATCCTGAGTTAATAGATTTTGATCGTGGGGAGAAAAATTGCTGGGCAATACGGGAGCGGAACAATCAGAGGGATAGGAGGCGAGAACAAATAAATAGGTGAATGTGTCTTCTGATCGGAATGAAGTAGGACACAGTGCAGTCTCCTTCAGACAAGTGGGCAAAGGGGATGCAAGCGTCAGCAATGAGAGACTTAGTTTATGTCTCGAACTCTCTATATGTCATAATTTTGAAACTTGGCAGCCAACTACAACAACAAATATTTGTCTGTAATTTGTAACAAATTTGATTTAAATTTCGATGAAATTTCGCGTCTCACGACATCACCGCGTAGCGGAGCAACAAGTTGGGGAGCAGCTCGTGACTTCCGTTGGGGCGCTTATCTGCCTCGCCAATCGGCCTCGTCAAAAAGTGCATCAAACGTGGGCGTCGAGGAAGATTACCGGAGAAAGCTAGAGAAATTCACCACAGAGTCAAGTTCGCTTGACTTGGCATGGATCTTTGCACGCCCTGTCAGGCCACAGATTTCAGGTTCATTGGACTGGTCCAGTTTCTCGGAATTCTGATCGATAACTCTGGTGTGGGTTCTGCCTGTATGCCCATAGCTCTGCCAGGCTGGGTCCGGCTCAGTTACTTTTGAAATGACCTTGAAGCCGCTTAGATTGACTCAATCTCCAAATGATCGCCAGCACCTGGGGCACCTTAAGCACTCCGTGAGGTTGAGAATCTATCCAGGCTTACGGCCCTACGCAACAGTCAGGTGCATGAGCGGACAAATGTGAGGAAAGATGCATGTCTGAGCGAGCAGGCCAGGACTAGAGTTTTGAGGAGCAGCATATAAGAGAGGCTATGAACCGCCCATCCCATCTCCAATCAATCAACTCCATTACCAACATTGATACTTTATCTCCCACCGGGACACCGTCTCTCTCTCTTTCGCTACTCTTCAACCCTCACCGTTACTTTTGCCACGCAGAGCACATCAACGTAGGTCCAATTTTCTTCTTTGCTCTTGTGGTCTGCACTTTGAGCCGCGCTGTCTTGGCTCACACTTGGTGCCCGCTTTCTTAAATACCTTAGCAGGCTTGCCAATAATCCCACTATCCAAACCACCTCTGAGCCAGCTCGATCATCTAACACCTATTAGACAGGAAACATCTTTTTCAATCCGCGAAGCCTACACCAGACTTCTTTTCCCTCGCATAGCACGATGCAAGGCTTACCCAGATATCCTCCATCGGCCGCCAGTGCAGACTCTCGGATGGCCGAGGGGGCCGATAAACCAGTCCTATTACTTCACGTTCGAGAAGCGTCGGCATCGGAAGCGAACGGAAGCCCATCGGAGTTCGACAAACCGTCTGCGCAGGAAGAAAGAACTCCTGAACTAGTGTCTTCGGCCCTCCCCGGCAATTCATTTGGTTCCCGAAGGTTACACAAAAATCCCAATCTCAACATCTCGATCCCTCCATTGGCAGCGGTCAAGCCTACTCTTGGACTTTCGCCTTCGGGTATCACCCAAGACCCGATGACACCTATCTTCCAGATCGTTCATACTCCTACCACTGCTCCGGGTGCACCAGGACCTGGGGACCCGGCTGAAATTCGACGATTAGAGGAGAGCTGGGCCGCCAATATGATTGACTATGACCAGATTTCACCAGCGTTTCCAAACTTCCGCCCGCCTACATTCAATGAATTCCCAACCAAGAACCCCCACGACGGCTCGCTCAAAAAGTCCAGTTTCCACTCTGATCACGCCGATGCCAAGAACAATGACGACTCCTTGGCCCTCAGAGAGATGTTTGCTCTCACCGCTTCAGCAAAAACGCCAACCTTTCCGCCACCCTCTCTTGCCTTGGATTTCGGAAAGGTTGACGCGCGCAAGATTGACGACAAGTAGGACCAAGTGTCGATTTTCATTCACCGTCTCTGCGTTCTCCGGAAAATTTTCTTCCTGGTTCAGTGTTCGCTCAGATTTCCATATCAATTGGTCCAGTTAGTTTCATTTACCGCGGCTTGTGGCCATTATCAGTTTTGTATCTCGGCTTGTGGCCTTCATTATTTTTCATCATGGCAAAGCCTACCATCTCGTGCACAATTTTAGTTTATTTATTCACGCAGCTCTTCCTTTGTAGTTTAGTACATTTTTAACAAGTATGCACAATCACCAATCCACTCTTTTTTCGTGACAATCGAAAGTGCCGGGCCCTCTGCTCAGGCCCTCGCAAGAATAATGCTGAGTGTTATAGTTATGAAGTTTTGTTGATTTTCCTTGTAGTACATCCAAGCCCTCTTTCCTTTAGGCTGATCTATAAAAGTATGTGATGTAAACTCACCATGTCCTGTTGGTTAACAGGCGAAGTTGCTTCAAGATCAGTCTTCAATCTGAAGTTAATGTAAATTAAACAAGTTAAATTATACATTTGAACCTGTCAAAACCACCGCAACAATTTAACGGTCAAATCAGGTATTCAAAATCAAACTTTAAGAAAGAAATTACAGCCCCTGGTCATGTATGTGTTGATTTATATTATTATGAAGCCCCCGTTTGGCAGCTTCATAGATTTGAGCTTGATTAATTAAATAAAAAATAAACTGTTGTAACTTCATCTTCTCCCGGCCTCGGCCTTTTCTTTTCCATCCGTGTCACTAATTCATTTCTTTCCTCCAGAGTGAATATGCTTGTCACCTTCTGACCACAACCTGTCCTAAACCTTATTGATCAGACAGTAATAATTCTTGAATCATCAGCTCTCTGTGTGCTTTTCCCTGAGGTCTCTAAGGCTACAATTATAAACATGTTTTTGAGAGTTTGTTCAAAGCATTTTGAAAACATTTTGAATTCAATCATAAAAATATTGCTTATGATTTATCTCAAAAAGTTCTCAAATTGGCTTGGAGGGCCGATTTGAGTTCAATTTTTTTTGCCAAACTTCAGATATTTCTCATGTTTTACAACGGCCAAGAGGTCTGTGTGCGGGCCTGTGTAAAAGGATGACTTCATAGGCCTTATGGTGAAATTTATATGAACACAACCACCCCTCACAGAGCTGCCATCAAACATCGGCAAGAAACCATCTGCAATGAACCAGGCCCCAGATCCAAACAGCATCCCCCCATTACTATAGCTACAGCAGTAGCCAAAACAACCCAATTTGTTGTCAGTTCTTGGAAGGCTTGAGAGGCAGGTTGGTGTTTTGGGACTCATGGATGAATTTAGTTTATAATTGGACAATGATATCAAGCCCGTTTTGAAAACTGATTGAGCTTTCAATTTCCTAAAAAAATAAAAGAAACAAATTTCAAGATGGTTTCAAAATGTTTTGAAAAAAATTAAAAAAAGTATTTATCATTTTAGCCTAAGATATTCAACCTCTTGGAGTGTGAGTGCTTTTCTGCCACTCAAGCTAGCAGCTCTGGCCCTGTTTGGGCTCTCTGGACCTTAGTTTTCTCTAGAGCCTTTTGTCTCTAGATTAGTTTTTAGCCACTCTTCCCTTCTGCTTTTTCAGCTGTCATCTCAGAATTTTATCATAAACCACTCACAAATATGTAAGGCCCTGTTTGGCCGCAAATCACAATTTGTGATTTGGCTAAGGTTTGGCACAGATTTGGACCATGTGATATAAAACAATATAATTTTTTTGCACAAACTCCTGCCAAACCTCGACTCAAAATTACAAATTACAGACGGGCCGACGGCCAAATGGGGCCTAACAAAAATGTTATTAATGAAAGCTACCACTGATTTCAATGACAGATTACAATTTTGAAACATAAAAAGTGTAGTATTGATGTTAATAATATCATGAGGGGGTTGGAAAAATGACTCCCCAAAATTTGCCGACAACTCCCCTTTTGGTCAAGGGGTCATTGGATGGGAGTCGTCTTTCCAAATTTTATTTGTTTTTTTGGGTGGGAGTTGGCACCCAAAACCCTCCTTGACAAGTGGGAGGTTTGGGAGCCACCTCCCTCTCACTGGCCAGGGGGGATTCCCTCCGTTCATCAAGACTGTACCATCTCAATGACCCCAGGGAACCCCTCCTGGCCAGTGGGACTTGGAGGGAGGCGGGTCTCAATGACCAGAGGTGATTCTTTCCAGTCATCAAGAATGTACAGTCTTGATGACCTGAATCAAGACCATTTGATGACCAGAAGGGATTCCTTCCGGTGTGGAACTTTTCAAGCTAAAGAAAAGAGCTTAGAGGGGAAAAGAATAACTACACAGGGGAAAATGTGAGTTGAAGACTTGGATGCTGATGAAGCTGCCCTCTTGCCAAGGCTTGGGAGAGAATTACACTAAGAATTAAAGAAAAGGTGTGGTTATTTCTGTGGGTAATCTCAGTATGAGATTTATTACTGATGTCTTGTACAAGTCACCTGCTGAGAGATTGGGGATGTGGGGGATTCTGGTAAGGATGAGGCTCTGGGGGGTAATGGTTTTTGGGTTCAATTTCTTATTTTTTGGGGGGAAAATCAATAGTAATTACTTCTGGTAACTACTAGTAAGTGATGTCTGTTAAGTAATTATCTGATTACTTCTCTCCTTCAAGCATGGGGAATAAATTAAATGAAAAGGGGTAGTCTCTATATACATGTGTGTGGTTCTGATCAGGTAATAGTGGTAAGATATCAGCTGAAATTATAATATGGTATGGAATAGGTTGTATCTGAAAGACCAGTGATTATGAAATAAAGGTGGCTGACAAATGTGTAGTATGAAATAAGTATTGTTGAAAAGAAGCAATATGACATAATTTATGTTTGTGACAGCGATGTGCAGATATGTTGCCCAAATGGATAATGTTGACTGTAACATAACCTTTAGAGTTACGTTAACCACAATTTACAGATATCTTTATTTCAGTTACAATATCTACTGGAGCAAAAGGCCCCTTTTTTTCTAGTTACGTTCCCAGAAATTCTGAACAAAACAGGGTTACGTTACAGAATTTCCAATATTTGGATAACTTAAGGGTAACTTTTCTGGAGATACACTGATTCTTGATGGTTTTGTTCATTAAAAGCGAGGTAATTCACACAATATAATCATAAACTAATCAGTGATTATCATTTCACCAGCAAGCCAGGTCAAAAGATGTCTGGTGTGAGAATTGAACCCACAACCTCCACATATTCAATGTGCATGTGAGGCACTCTTTGACCACATGGCCCGCAAGCAGGTGACGAAATTTGGATTTTGTCACTTCCGCAGTGACTGCGCACCCGCAAAACAATGTGACAAAATTTGAATTATGCAATATGATTGGGCCCTTCAACCTCTCATAAGACCCTCCACCCAATTATGTTACGTTACCCCAAAAAAATATATGAAAAAAATTAAATTGGTTATGTTACTTTACTTGAGAACCAAATTTAGTTACTTTACAAAAACAACAGATTCGGATCAACGCTGGTCCAGCTACGCTAACCGTAGCGTTAGCGTGGCGTAGCGCAGCGGAAATGCGCTACTTTGTAGCGTAGCGTTAGCGAAAAATCCGCCTTTCTGCGCTAACGCTACGCGCAAAGGGCACAGAAGTGCGTTAGCTGTTAGCGTAGCGTTAGCGCAGAAATTTGGAATTGCGCTAACGCTACGCGCTCAGGGCACAAAAAAGTGCCCGCTACGCCGCGCTACAGCGCTTTTTAGCGGGTTTTTTGCCTTTTTTGCCGCTAAAAGCGCTGTAGCGCAGCGTAACGCAGCGTAGCGGCTGTAGCGATGCGCTAACACTACCCAGAAGCAAGCCGCCTGTTAGCGGGGCTTCAGCGTAGCGTAGCGTAGCGGCGGTAGCGGCACGCTAACACTACAGAAAAAAGGGCCCGTTTTAGCGCCGCTACGCTAACGCTAAGTGGCCCTTTAGCATAGCGTAGCGTAGCGGCCCAGCGTTGTTCGGATAACTAAAAAAAAGTTACGTTCTCCAAATCCCCTTCTGTAACATACCATAATGTATCTGCCCACCGCTGTTAAGCTCAAAAGTGTTCGTGAGAACCTTTTGCTGAGTTCGGAAAGGGATGTGTGAGGTAACCTCTGCCTTTCCTGTGTACTACACTAAACAAGACCACCAATCTTAGATTGGCAGCTTTTAATTAGTGATAGTGGAGTGTATCAAAAGATACTCTGTTGTTTAACAGGTGGACAGGTGCAAAAAATGGGTTGTTGTTATGTGTAAAGATGTTGTAATAATTGTATGTAAGGGTTGTTATAATTGTAAAACCAAAATATTGGGGAACAAATAATATTATGGAGTGAGCAGTGATTTGCCTGTTATGTGGGGAAATGTCTGCAGGAAGTCTGCTGGGAGAAATTACAACTGGGAGGAAGGGCCTCCTTATATAGACAACAATGAAGTATTTTGGCTCAGGGGAGCAAGAATGAGGGATTTTGGCTGGTTGTACAGCCTTACATGAGGGAATTTGGCCAAGATGGAAGAATACATGAGGGGTTTTGGCTGGTGGTACAGCCTACATGATGTGATTGGAGAAGTTGAGTGGTTTCCGTCGGATTGACAAGCTGTGCAACAGTTGCTATGCAACCTAGCAACCTGCAGGCTGTGTTTTGTAAGCCGCATGATGTCATCCTGTATTTGAGGCTGTACGCTTCGCATGACAGGTTGCCAAGGTAACCTGTACGCTGTGCCTGCATACTTCCATTGTACTTGATTGAGATGTACAGATGCCAGATCACATGGCCCGGAGGGGTGAAATGTGTACCTGAATCCTTGTAACATGTAAGGGTGCTTGACCCCCCTACCTGTGAGTAAAAGAGGGGTGTAACATGCAACACAGAGGGGTTACATGTGTCCAAGCCTGCTCCTCTAGGGTGATTTTGGCCCTGGAATCCCTTCCTGGAGCCATATTTGGTGTAATATTATTGTATATACAAGAAAATATAAAATTTTTGAAGTTGTTGGATGGGAACCCATAAAGTATCCCACACCGCTGTTTGTGATAAGAAATAATATGTAGTGAGAGAAGCTGAGATAATAAAAAGCTGAAATAAATATTCTGAAATGAAATAAGACATCTGTGTGGTGAAATATATATGTTGGTGATATAAGCAATGAGTAAGGAGTTGAAACAAAAGTGAGACTGGATGAGAATGTAGGTGATATAAGCAATGTGTAATGAGTTGGAATGGAATGTAAGATATGAAATAAATGTAGTATGACATAAAGTAGAATAAACCAAATGTAGTATGAAGTAATTTTACTATGAAATAATTGTTGTATGAAATAATTTATGTATGAAATAAATGATGTATGAAAAGAAGAGGATGATGAATGAGATGAGATAACAATATCTGGGATGAGAAAGCAGATGTATGGGATGAAATAATATATGTAGCCTGACTGAGTGGTATTTGAGATGAAATAAATAACATTTACTGAAAGATTGTTATCATAGAAAGAAGGTACTGAGGAAAGACTAATTTGTATTCTGAGGTGTGTGATATGTAGTATGTTGTAGCTATGTAGTACCATATAATATGTAACCCAATTATGTGTAAAATAATATTTTGTAGTCTTCTGCACTGGATACAAGCAACGGTGCAACAGAGACAATACAAGACGGTATCAGGTGTTTATTTGTATCATCTCAGAATTTGAATACCCAAAAATACCAGATTTGTGTTGTCTCACTTTCCTAAGACTATACACATGTATTGTCTTTGAAAAGTGAGACAAGTATTCTGTATTGTCTCAGATGACTGATCCCACCAAAACCATATTTGATACACAAGATATTTGGCCGTATTGAAGAAAAAAGAAAAAAGAAAAAAACAAAGACAATTTTTTTTTTCATTCGTAAATCCGAATCCAAGACAATAAATTTTTTCACCAACCAAGAAAATACTGATATGGGTATCAGGCTCAAAATAAAGACAATCCGATCCAATACAAATACATGTCCCATATCTGTTTCACCATTGATACAAGATAATGAATTATGTAGCATATATATATCTGGCTGTAATATCATTAAAAGTACTATTGATAGCTATTTTGTACTATATGTGACCTTGATTGGTCTCACCACACCGGTGTGGTAAGCCAATCCTGAAGCTCCAAGCACATCAAGGGCAACAAATCACACAAGAATCACAGGATCAAGACCCCTCATGAAGTCCCCAGACCCTCAAAACCAATCCAAACACCACTCATGGATACCCTCAAGCACAGACCACATGGATAATAATATTTCCCAACCAGAAACTCCACAGCCCTGAAACTCATTTCCCTCCAAACATATTCCATTCTTCTTACCCCTTGTGTTCCACACTAGTAGCAATCCCCCTGATCCATGAAACAGTTATTTCCTCCTATCTCCTTCTATGGAATATTCCACCCCTTGGTTGTTTCATACTAGTAACCTTGGGTCCGGGAGCATTTTCCCACTGCTTGTTTCCCCTGTTTTCTCTGGATAAATATTTTCCCTTGTTTCATACTATTTATAGAATGTTCCACATATTTTCCAACCACAAGCTGGCCACTCCCCAGAATTTTGTATATAAGGAGCTTTGTTTTTCCTCTTCATTTGTTCCTCATCAGATCCTGCCCCAGAAATTCAGATAACTGATCACCCACTATTAGCCAGGTATATGCCCATCAACATTTGGGATACCTTGATTTGTGAACAAGTATATTTAGACTAGTAAACATAAGACATATTAGACATACCATTCTCAAGAAATCTCCAAAGCCACACCTTTCCTTAAGAGTCCATACTCTTATATTTTCTTGTTACCTTACTCATTGTAGTTACCAGAGAGGCAGCCCATTAAAGCACCTATCCCTCTCAAGCTCTATTCATCCCAAGAGTAGTTCCACACCGGTCATCAAGACCATTCAATGAATAGAATCAAGACCATTTGATGACTGGAAGGAATCCCTTCTGGTCATCAAGACCATTCAATGACCGGAAGGACCCCTTCGAGTCAATGACCGGAGGGAATCCCCCCCCCCCCTGCCAGTGGGAGGGGTTCAACTCCCAAACCTCCCACTTGCCAAGCAGGATTTTGGATGCTGACTCCCACCCAAAAAAAATAAAAAAATAAGAAAAAATAAAATACAATTGGGAGGTCGACTTCTCATCCCCCAGGGGAGATTGGAAAGACGACCCCTTGAACAAAATGGGAGTTGTCAGCAAATTTCAGGGAGTTCTTATTCCAATCCCCTATCATTATTGGATATGAGTTTTTTTCAATCATGATTAAAGCAATATTTGACCTTGCCTGAATAACAATTTCATTACATAATTTTGTTTGGTTAAAATCTTATTAAATCAAGAATCCAATATTACACTTAAATTTATCACACTGCCAAACAGGGCCTAATGTTATTCTTTTGCAAGAAAAGAAATGATGTCACTAAAGTTAGATTTTGCAGGGAAATCTGACTCAAGTTGAAAAAACCCGGTTTTGTAGGGACCAGCAGGAAGGCCTCCATTTCTGAGAGTAATGATTTTTAGGAGAAAATAACCAACTGAACAAATCCCAGGAGCACTCTGCTGAATCCAATCATTTACCAATCATTTGATGCAAAAAATGATACCTGATGCCCACCAGAATTAAATCAGCAGTGTAAGAAAATGGAAACCAAAAATGAATAAGTATTAAAGATAAAAACAATCACGCTCAATTGCACACATGAGGCTTATGGCCATGATAGTTTTGGGTCCACCACATATGCTATTTCTGGCAATCAAGCATGGTCTCTTTAACCTAAATGTTTGACAAGTTTCACCTGTCAATCTGAGTCCACATCTGAATCCTGTGACAAATGAGGGCATTTAGGACCCCGGAAAGCCCCAACCAAGCTGCCTAATGTAAAATGTAGCCAAAATGATTTTTTTTCCGAAATGTCCCTAATGTAAATCTGGAAAAAGGTAGCAAAAAAAAGGTGGTTGGAAAAACGACTTTTCCAACCCCCAAAAAAAAGCAGCACATGATCCTTCTGTATGTGGTAGCAATTTGTCCACCAGTTGAAATTTATGCATGAAATGATTAGAGATTTTTCACAAGGATGAAAAAAAAAATGAAATTTATGCATGATAGGAAAATTTATTGAAAAAACAAAAAGGACCCTGATGTCGGAGGTAGCAAAACATGCATCTGCCCCCCAAAACCAGATATTCCTGGGTAGCAAAAACCCAGATTTCAAAGGTTTTACATTAGGTGGCTTGGTGGGGGCTCTCCGGGGTCCTGGGCAGTTTGAGAAAAGCATATCATTGTCCATTGAGTGTTTTACACTGGACCAAACTCCACTGATCAAGGCAGTACTACTGAAAAACTGTGGCTGTGAATGCATGAACAATACCTGGCCACACCAAAATACCCGTTGTCCCATTGAATTCAAGCTTTGTCACCTCCATTGGCAGTATTCCAAGAATCTTGGAGTGAAACTGGTTGAGGATATGGCTGAGGCTGGTGAAGGAAAATGTTGTTGGTTGATGACTAACATAAATGAGAAACAATACAACAAAGAGAGATGGCTATAAATCATCACCTAGGTTTTTACCTACAACTGCAGCGCCAACTGATAGTTATGCTGAAGAATGAAAGTTTCAATCGTAAGTTCACCGATCCCAACTAGAAATCCTCTTCCCGTGTTTACTTCGGTACATCAATCATTAGATTATGCTCTTCAAACTTGCCTCTGCATCGGACCTGTCAGAACGAACGCTTCTACCTTTCAAGAGATCCAAAGTTTAGGTGAAAATATGTATTTCAAAAGCGATAAGGATACATGAGAAAAATACACGCTGTTTCTGAAGCTGAAGATGGTCACAGATGGCCATCTTTCGCCGGGCTGATCAGGAAATCTTGCCTGATACCTGTCTAGTAAGACAATCAAGCTTATAGAATGTTACTCTCTGCGGCGCAGAATCACCATCTCTCCTGATCATAAAAGAAAATTTGCAGGTACATATTTACCTACCGCCACGGGCCAGCTACCCATCCGGATTTTTCCGTGGTGTGCAGTGAGCTGTGGACAAAAAATTCAGTTATGTTGTTTCGAAACCTAGGATTTTGAGAAACTCCTTTGCCTGTCAGCGCTGTCTATAAATAAAGCCCGATACCCCTCTTTGATCATTATAACCCCGTGCCCCTGATTCCAATCAGATTAAACCCCAACCTTTCGGATTTTCTCACCGCCTCATACGCCGTATACATAACCGACGTTAGAGTAATCACAGCAGCAAACTCCACAGTGAGCCATTTTTTAGATTTAAGCTCAAACAGACATTGATCATTTTACGGTGTTGAGTGGGACGAAGAAGACGGCTATTTATTGATTGTCAGCTTCCAGATCTTTTTGATTCACCTAGGCTTGGTCCAATTCATGTGAGCGCTTCTGGAATCGGATATAACGAGAGCTGCTTGGATTTTTAAACTTACATCATCAGGGTATTTTCTTTCTCTCATGATTGCGCTGCAAGCATTTAGTAGCCAGGTAGCAAAAATGAAAACTCCCAATACGATTTTGATGACCACAATCTTGAGTGGATTCATCTATTTCACAGCACATGGAGCTCCTACGACGTTTGGGTTCAAAAAGGTGGACATCCCACAATGGGCATGGTATCAATCACTCCTGGACGAGCAATTCCTTGATGATGATATGGCCCGTTTTGGCGGGCCGATAAGCCATCATGCCGCTCCAGCCTCACATACCAACTTCCCTACCTGGGGTCTCGTATTCGCCAATGGCAACCAACCGAATAAGGTGTACATCACCAACCAGGGGCGTGGACCCTTACAATACTTACTCAGACGAACAGGAACTCAGCATTACTTGGACCATACAATCCAACCCCACCACCAGCACGTCGTTCATGGACCTGCCGTGACTATACTCTGTATTAAGCATCCGTAGGTCTGCTTGCGTCTAGAAAATAAGATTTACCTGAGATGCGTACACATTTTTATAATCAGTTACATCATTAAAAACTGTTACTATCTATCTATCTATCTATCTGATGTTTTGCGATCATGGATGTTGAAGAAGTGCTTATGTGGTACAGAATTTCACATTCTCGTGCTTTATTTCATCCATCCATCCACCCACTTTTGTAAGAATTTTACCGCACAGTGCAATAGTTGGAGCCCTTCACCTTTTTTCATTATGCATTTATATAATTTGAACTGCATGTCACAAGCTTATAAATACATGATTTCATGAGGCTACCATGGGATATTCATATCTCTGATTTTCTTCTCTTTTCAAATCAGAAATATGATCATTCTGTGCCTCCCATGACTTCTGCCCCTGGTCTTCTTTGGCTCAGCATCAACTGAAATCATCATCCACATAATTGTAAGATATTCTGTAAACCCTTTTCAATTGAAAAAACCACTAGTCTTCCTATTCTTGGTTACTGCCAAAGTGCTAGAAAGTACACCACGGGACTATTCTGATGTCCCATGGACACTCTTCTGGACATCATCTGAGGTGTCCAGAACTTGCAGGGCAGAGAGTGTCCATTGGACACTACTCTGCCTGACAGTTTGCGGACGTTTTCTGGAAAACTGTCCACTGGATAGTTTCCAAGCCGTCCACTGGATGCTTTTTTGTTCTGCAATGAAAACAAAAAAATAAGCACACCCAGAGTTGAACCCATGACCTCATGGAGGTGCCACTGCACATCCCCAATGCCTGTCCTTACTGACTACACTACAAAGAATTAATCTTGCAATTAAACCCAAACTGTTGTTTATAGACCGAATTGGCACTTCGGAGTAAGCCACTTCACAGCCTTTTCATGATCAAGTGCATTTTTAGAGATTTTTTTGACAATCACATCACTTGCACTTTTGGAGTGTTTTTCGACAATCGACCACACTTTTGGAGTGTATTTCGACCATCGACCGCATTTTCAAATTCCATTCATACTTTATTTCATCCACCCATTCACCCACTTTTGTAAGAATTTCACCACTCGGTGCAATATATAGTTGGAGCCCTTCATTTTTTTTTCTTTCCATTACGTATTTATATAATTTGAACTGCATGTCACAAGTGTATAAATACATGATTTCATGAGGCTACTGTGGGATACCTCTGATTTTCTTCTCTTTTCAACCCAGAGATATGATCATTCTGTGCTTCCCATTACTTCTGGCCAGGATCGTCTTTGGCTCAGCATCAACTGAAATCATCATCCACATAATTATAAGATAGTTTGTAAACACTTTTCAATTGAAAAACCCACTAGTCTTCCTATTCTTGGTTACGCCCAAAGTGCTAGAAACATGATACTAGGGGGGTCCACAATTCAGGCTTGGAGCCGTTTTTAAGGTGTCCATGAGCAAACATTTACACATTTTATGAGTTGTTCAGATCCATTGGTTTCTAAACATCCTGTACAGTAAAGATGGCCTACAGGTACCTGTTAGCAGGTAATAGTCAAGATTGAACAGGGGCCAAAAAAAGTTGCTATACCCAGGTACATACCAAGTTTGAAGAAATTTGGAGGATGAAAAAGTTGATCCTTGGGATTACTCAACTCCACAGAACCTACTGCTAATCAGATCTACACCTTCTATCTTCAGGCTTTTTTAGAAGTTACACATTCAAGTTTACAAAGAACGGGAGATAGATTTGATCAGGTCAAAGAGAAATTATCAAAATAAATATAGAATGCAGTTGTCCAGAAACTTGAATGTTGTTGCTTCCAACTACCATCTAATTTCGTATTGAGCGCTTCTGAATTTCATTTTGACGCCTTTGTTAATAGCAGGGATACCAAAAGAAGACGATAAGGAAGATAAAGCTTTACCGGCCGGATCATGATTTGAAAACTGGTGCTGATGATTGTGATGATCAGAGAAACTCGAGTTTTGTTTGATGTCGATTTTGTCGACTTTGAGGCCGAGAAAACTCAAGTTTGGCGATTCGGTTCTGCTTTCAAATTCGACCTCAATCGAGTGACTCGGTTCATTTTCTTTGGACCTAAGGCCAAAAACGGGTTTTTGTATTTTATTTCATTTTTATTTTTTTCACCACAGGACGAATCAGATGATCAGACACTCTCATTGGCTGGGGGCGTTAACAAGGGCTTGGAAGTGAGCTTATGAAGGACAAACCTGTGCGTCCACAGCCCAGTCAAGCAGCAATTGGCATCCTGACCATCCAATGACCAACGGATTTCTTTTTTCGACTCATCCCATTCCCAAGAGGGTTCGATTCGCCTTCCATCTCGGGATCGACAATGGAGTTGTTCGGAGATGATCCCGGTGGCGAGCCGACCGAGTTGCCATCGGATAACCAACTTAGACAGCGATGCGACACTGCTGATTAGAAGTTTGAAACTACCACCCTGATCTCCAACTGTCACAGTCGGTTTGATCGCTACCGGTAGTGATGTTGATTGGGTGGGTGTCGATCGGTAACTCATCAAACGGAACCGTCCATCAGGCGGAATAAATGACACGATCTTCTCCTTTTCCCATTTGCTATACCTTACACAACTATGGAATCCTACCCTTCCAATCTTCGTTGGATCGATGAATTTGAGAGAAATATCTGGCAAACCTATTCCTCAACCAATTGAAAAGTCAAATTATATTGATGATAATAGCGATTGAGTTGGCATCCCAATTTCGATCCGCATTGGCTGATGAATGATTAGATGCATACCAGTTAGTCTTGATTGGATATCGACCACCCCAACCACTTCGAACCTGAGGATATGGCCATCTGGATCAAGAGTGACCGAAATGGATTCAATCAAATCCAACCAAATCTCTTGTTTCCTTCAAAGTTACACCACTACATATTAATCTATATGTAAGTTGAACAGAGGGCATGGGAGCAAGCAAAACTGACGCGTATTCTAATCCAGTCGGTCTCCAAGGTATCACAGATGAGAAGATCGTGGGTTTGGGTCGATATTGGTTTTTGCCTTTGCTTCTGAGGAGAGTATGGTCGAAGAATAATCAAGAATCCTTGAGGGGTTATCATCAGAGGCTGAAGATTTTTCGCGGATTGATGTGAAAGATGAACTGCTCGGAGAAAGACTAACAAGGTCTCGGTGGCCTCCGAGATCAATTTGACAATCGATTTGTTCTTGATCGGAATCAATTCTTCAATCAATCCAGCCTCCGTCCAATTTCTCCCGAATGGGTTTTCTCTTGTCGGAGCTGTCAAGTGAATGAGTTGATGCACCAGTTCGAAATTGGATTCTATCAAGCTCGGACCGATCTGTATGTTGTTGGCGCCACTGTTATTCAAATATTTCGATAATAAATTCAAGAATTTGTTCAGGTATTCGAATACGATTGCCGGTTCGACTTTATATTTTATTTTTATATAAAAATTGTCAATGAGACGAAATCTTGATAGTTTGGATGAACGGAAGGGAGATGATGGTAGGGATGAACGGAAGGGAGATGATGGTAGACCTAACTGTCTGAACTTGCAATACAGGCTAACCAAAGGTGGTGTTTGACCAGATTGCAGCACACTGAGCCATGAGGAGGAGGGTGGTGATGTGGGGAGCTCGTTGGAGGTTGACGGTCATCAATTTGATTATCGTGATTGTTGAGAGGCGAGGAAGTGAGGTGAGAAATATGTTGATTTGAGGTTGTTTGTTGTGTTTGCCGGGGAAACTGATGATCTGATGAATGTGAAGCCGAGTTGGAATCTGAATCTGAGTTTGAGTCTGAGTCTGAATCGGAATTTGATGAGCCATCGCTAGTGAAGGTAAGTGAGGAGATTGTGGGTAGGTAGACGATCGGAGGGATGGTGTGATGGGTTGATAATATGTCGATCAGTGCATCGGTGACTGCGAGAGGATAGTTCGATGAGCTCATAAATTTGGACTTGAGTATTAACGAGCTGTTGGGTTCAACCAGGGAGAAGCAGTGGTCGGTCAACAGGTATCCTATACTTGACACTAGGGATAAGAAGAGGACGAAACGAACCCATTTGTGTTCATGAGCAATAATCCATCCATGGTGATCTTGCTGAGGGATGATACCTGGAGAGACTTGAATCAGTTATCAGTCAGTGGTTATCCAGTTCAGTTCAGAGTTCAACGAATTCTCAAAGACAGACTTACAGTCACTTGATATTAATTTCTATGTTTTGTTGTAGATTGGTTTTCACTTGTTGACTGACTGGGAAATATTATTGGAAGATTGATGTTGGACTGATTACGTAATCAGCTTCAACCTATCCCTGCCAAGAAAACCGAGTGCCTAAAACTTGACTGAATCTCGCCCAGAACCACTTCGAACGAAAATAATCAGGATGGCCAACCGAGGATCAGCTAGCAGACCAGCCAAACCAGTAACGATCTATCGGAGGGGGAAACCTGTAGGAAACCAACCAGGTCCATCGTCATCCTCATCAGCATCAGGCTCAGACCAAGAGGAAGAAGAACAAGAACAAGTTCATCATCAACCTAAACCATCAAGCTCCACTTTCCCAATCATCAACATCGAGACTACCTCATTCGATCAGAAACAAAACCAATCACGTAAATCAATCAATCAAAACGCGCACAAAAAATAATAAAATTCAAAACACTAACTGTCGTTTTAATTCCTCAAAAAAAAAAAACATTATAATTCAAGCTGAAACTGACTCATCCGAAGAAGAATCAGACGACTTATCTACAAAATCTAAATCAAAAGGAACCACCAAGGGCGGAGAGCTTACAACAAAAGTAAGGATGTCTCATCAAATACAAAGTAAAAGAAGAGAAACTCAAGAATCTGTCAACTACTAGATAGCAAGCTGAAAACTGGCCATCTTTTATCTATCTTTCAACAGCCCGTCAAAACTCAACCAGGCTCTTCTAGCTCAGATGACGACTCGTCAGGATCAGGTTCCTCCTCATCCGGAGATGAAGAAAGTGATGAATCAGAGAAATTAGTCCCAATCTACAAACCTGTGTTTATTACAAAGTTGAGTGTCAAACCAGTCTTTTATTACGCATTCACATATACCTGCGAAAAAAAAAGTAAAACTTGATTTCATTCTAATCTAACATTTTGTTTTCTGGTGGCTGGAAATCAACTCAGGCGGAATCGAGAAACCATCCCTAGTCAACAAACTGAAACCGAAGCAGACCTGGAGGCCAAGAGACTAGAAGAAGAAGAACGCAGGAAGAAGGCCAGTCAAAAGTTGGTAGAAGAGACTTTGATCAGAGAAATAGCAGAGAGTTGAGTTTCGATTTAAATAGAAATAGAAAAACATCGATCAATTCCTTATATCACGGATGTTTATTTCTTTCATTTATTGTGTGGTGTATAGAGGAGGTCGATCAGGTTTTTCCGGACGTTGACGACACCGATGGACTAGATCCTGAAGCGGAATTCGAGGCCTGGAAATTGCGTGAACTGAAACGATTGAGACGAGATAGAGAAGCATTAATCCAGTTAAGCATTCTTTTTATCTTTATAGCACTTTCAATTATTCACCACTGACATACACAAACAAAAAAAAAACACTTCGTACACCATTCATCGGCTTTAGACGGGCCAAGGAGAAAGAAGAAATCGAAGCCCGAAGGATGATGCCCGAGTCAGAAAGATTGAAAGAAGACTTAGAATTCGCAGAAAAAACTAGGAAAGCTAAGCCCAAAGGCAAACAGGTCTTCTTACAAAAATTCCACCATAAGGGTGCATTTTACACCGTACGTACCTAACTACCCAAACTGACGGGTTATTATCAGCACACCCTTTCTAATCTAATTGATGTATCCAATTTGGCTTGCCTTTATATCAAAGGACTCAGATATACATAAAAAACACGATTTTACTGCTCCTACCGAGGGGACTTTCACTAAGATGGAACTATTACCGGCTGTCATGCAAGTTCGAGATTTCGGGAAGATGAGTAGGACTAAATGGACACATTTGGTCAAAGAGGTATGTTGACCTTTAAAGCATAGCCCATTTTCTTATTTCCTGTTGATTTTCTGTTTGGCTTCTTGAAAACAAAACAGGACACTACGTCATTTGATGCGGGGTGGAGTAAAAAGAACCCCGGGCGAGCTGATAAAACTCAAGATGGGTGCTTTGGATGTGGGGAAAGAGGACACCTGAAACGCGATTGCCCGAAGAATCAGGGCCAGACTCCTGGTCAGGGTAGCAATCGAGTAGCTCTCGGGGACCGAGCCAAGTCGAATGATGATCGACACAAAAAACGGCGAGGGTCTGAGGACGAGTCACGAGAGAAAGAGTATCCATCCAAGCGGAGAGATGGTGAACGGGAACGCTCTGGCGGAGGTGGTCGGCGATCCGACGACCGCGATCGTCGTCACTATTCGCCTCCACGTAGAGATGAGGAGCGAGATCGATCGAAGGACGACAACCGGCGACTACACGATCGCGAGCGTCGGGATTACTCACCCAAGCGGCCAGGGCGAGACGGCGATCGTCGAGACTACTCACCCAAGCGGTCAGGGAGAGAGCGCGATCGTCGAGACTACTCACCCAAGCAGCCCGGACGAGAGCGTGATCGCCGAGACTACTCGCCCAAGCGGGCAGGGCGAGAGCGCGATCGTCGAGAAGCCTCACCCAAGCAGTCAGAGCGCGATCGAGATAGGTCTAGGGATGGAAAAAGGGCGGGAAGGCGATAGGCACCGTTCCAAAAACGAACATAGGAAATATACCAAACATCGCAGGTGACAGATATCACACCAACCATCCCAATCCTAACCCCCCAAAAAACGCAAATAAATTTTTGAACTATTTTGGGTTTGACTTTTTGCCCTTTCTTATCATGGCTTTGTAAACCTATTCTGGACTCATTGTGGCAATCATGCGCCAACCTCATAAATTCATCAAAAAGGAATTCTTCAGTCCACTTTAAGAAGTCCCTATTGACAACGCGCCTGCCAAGATCTGCTAAGCCTGTAGTCCATTTCAACTATCTAGACCTTTTAACTCGTACAAGGTCCAGCTGGTTCATACAACATAAAAAATACATCTTATTTATATCATGGAAAGAATTTGGGGCAAGGATTTGAGATTGAGAGTCCGGGCAGATTTGGTGTCCCAGGAGTTCTTGAGCAACAAGTGAGCCTTTTTCCGCAAGATCGGCACCATCTGGTGATATACTCGATTCTATCATGCTCGGATGGCCAAAATTCAACCGGTGCAGCCTGCCTCCTCAGAGCGTCTGACGTGACAACTGGAAGGAGAATGGATGGGTTCAAACGACATGCCCATGTACATACACACATGTAGGCCCTATGGACAGAGGCCAAACTAGCGCGGAAAGACGCACGCTCGTAAATTGGCACCTGCTTCTAAGCCACAGCAAGCGGCAATGGAACATTGTTTGCGGTAACAGTCCTGGCGGAGTGTAGTGTTGCATATCGCGGCTGACAAAGCGACTGACAAAGGGTCCGGACCCGGCGAGCTTAACTAGGTCTCCACGGCGGGAGCGTTAGCGAGCAGCGGAGCTGTCCACACCAGTGGAGGCCTATGACAAATGTGTTAGGAGGCAAACGGTGACACTCTAAAGTTGTCCCGATAGGTACGGTTAGCTACCTAAACGTCCGGTTCCGGTCCCTCAACTCGATGAAGAAGAAGAGGGGCCTTTGCCTCGCGTCCAGGTATTTAGACTAAGTACAAGCTTCTGCTGCGCAACTAACTATGATGATAGGTACAACTAGGTTATGAGAAATGCGGGAAACTACAAGAATATTGCATCTGTCACAAACGTGTCACGTCCTACTCTCAACACTCCCTCCCACGTTTGTGAAGCTTGACCATCTTGAGGTTGATTTTTTCCAGTGCCTTCTCAATGATGTTGGGTCCAAGTCTCTTGGTGAAAATGTCTGCAAGTTGATTGTGGGTATTGGTCCAGTTTATCTTGATCTTATATTGACGGATAAAATCATTAATAAAATAGAAAGCTCTTGATAAATATTTAGTCTTCTTTTTTGAAGCATTATCCCCAGCAATCAATATGGCGGCCTCATTGTCGCAGTAGATTTCCATTGGAATGTGATGTTCAATGTCGATGAGCAGGTTGTTGAGTTGTGCAAGTTGTTGTGATCCATCTGAAAGTGCAATGTATTCCGCCGCACAAGTCGAAAGTGCCACTACATTTTGTCGTTTTGCTCCCCAAGCTATGCTGTTCCCATTGTGTTTGATGATGTGTCCGGATGTTGACCTCTCGTGTTCTCCCCCCCAGTTCGCATCTGACCATAGTTGTAAATCGCCGCCGGTGTTGTTGAAATTCAGCCGCAGATTGCTTGTCCTCTTCAGGTAACCAATCAAAATGTCGAGTGCCTTCCAGTGATCTTCTGATGGGTTGGAACTGTACCTTGCCAACAGGTTGACTGAGTACGTGAGGTCTGGTCGAGTTCCGCCGCAGAGATACATGAGACACCCTAGTGTTGATCTGTACGCCGTGCCTTCGACTTCCGCCCCTGGGTTGATTTCTAGAGCTTCTTCCGGTAGGGTGCTTCGACGTGGGTAGCAAGTCCTGGTGTAGCCATCAATAGTCTGTTGTACAAGTAGGTTTTGATGCATGGATAGTCTGCCATCGTCGTAGGATATGTTGATGCCCACGATTTTGTCGACTTTGCTGTTCCATTTCACTTCCATTTCCACTGACATAGCCTTGTGTAGTTCATCCAACATATATTGAGAGGACCCAATTGCGAATCCATCATCAACATGAAGCCAGATCACAAGAAAATCACTTCCCTTACGACAGAAGAAGACTGAGGGTTCGAGTTCGCTGGCCGTGAAACCAATTCCTTCCATTTTTTCTTTGAAGAAAAGAAACCAGCATCTTGCTGCTTGACGGGTACCATACATAGCCTTTTTCAATCGCATCACCTTGCCTTTCCACTCCGGCATGAGTTCGACTGGTGGTTGGACATAGACCTCTTCTTCGATAGGGCTATAGAGGTAAGCCGAGCTGATGTCGAAAGACGCTGTGGGGTAGTTGTGACGTTGGGCTACTGATATCAAAAGTCTTAGAGTGTTCAGAGACGCCGTCGGTGCATACGTTTCATTACAGTCAACTCCCATTGTTTGATTGAAGCCTTTCGCGACATACCGGGCCCTAAACTTGTCGATTGAGCCATCCGCCAGACGTTTGATGGTGAAGACCCATCGTGCTCCCAGGACCTTGATTCCGTCATAAGGCATAACGGCCTCCCACACGTTGAGTGTCTTGAATTTATCAATTTCATACTCAGCCGCTTTCCTCCATTCAGGACCTTCTGGGCATTTGAGAGCAAATTTGATGTTCTTCGGGATGTCGAATTCCATGCCCATCGGCAGATTGGCTATTGCTTTGCGCTCGTTTTCAGCGATTTCAGCAGTCGGCTCGCCACCCAGCACCAGTTTGATTTGGCTGACTACAAAGTCGATGTCAGATTTCTTCTCAGCCTTCTTTACTTCAAGCTGTTGAAATTCAGGGAATACGGCAGAAGTCGAGTGTATCATATGTCTCTTCTCTTCAGACCAGAATCGAAGAGCCAACCGGATCCTGCGATGGGATAACCAAGGAAGCGGCATTCCAATCCTCTTTCATCAAGCTTCGTCCGATGATCTTTGGGTATGTGAACAATCGCCCGCGCTCCAAAGGGGTACAAGGTTAGCGGGGATGGTTTTATACCAAAGAGTTTCTCGAGTGGTGATGAGTCGACCCTTGAGTTGGGTAGTCGATTGTGGATGTAGGCGGCTGTCAAATAGGCGTAACTCCAGTATATTTTCGGCATGTTGGCTGTGTGAAGCATCGTCCTGGCCATGTCACCCATTGTCCTGTTTACTCTCTCGGCTTCACCGTTCTGTTCCGGGTGATATGGTGAGATCGGAGCCAAAGTGGTGCCCATCTTCTCTAGCCGGTCTTTGAGTTCATTGACGAATTCACCGGCGTTGTCGCAGCGTAGATATGACGGTGTTCGGCCGCAGACATTCTTCAGGTGTTTGACCCAGGCCATGATCTTATTCGGGACGTCGGTCCTTGATGGTAATACAGCACAGTAGGTGTAAGTGCTTGCATGATCTCTCATGGTAAGAAGATATTTACACCCATTAGATGTCAGTATTGAAAGGGCCGGCTATGTCCGTCATACATAAGTCAAGTGGATTGTTGCGGGGGATCTGTGTGACTGCTCCGTCGGGCTTCTGGTGAAGACTTTTAGAGATGGCGCACTGCTCGCAGAAAAAACTTTTCGACGATAGTTTTAGGTCTGGTAGCAGTTGCTTCAGGAATTTTCTCACAACGGGTTCTGAGACGTGTCCTAGTCTGACGTGCCAGAGGTAGGGATCATGGGATGGTACTTGTGATATTTTATTTAACATTGCATCATGTTTCACGCGGAGAGTCCAACAATAATCATTGAAGTCAAAGTTAAATGAATTTTTAGAGGGGTCTACAAGTATCGCGTCCGTCCCAACGTGGGATAACTTCCAGCCTGCGCTGAGTAGTCGACCGGTAGAGAGAATCGAGCCCTTAATTCCATCACAGAAATATACATCCTCAATCTCCAGTGTGCCCGTCGGCGTCGGTATCTTCAGGCTGCCGATGAATTCAATCGGAGCCGTGAATTCAGATATGGCCAATGAAACAGTCAGTGGTCGTTCCAGTCTTCGGGTGATTGTGAAAAACTGTGAACTGCCACTCACGTTGATGGTGGAACCTGAATCGAGGAGTACAGTTCCGTCGTTGGCATCGGGGATGTCTATCTTCCTAATGCGACCGTTCGATGGATTACCGGGTTGCATTCGGGATGGGCGTTCGGGCGGAATGAATTGGGATCCAGAATCTTTGTGGTTTGCCGGTGGGGCCTCAACACGACCGTGGCGGACATCTTCCCAGTAGGTGTTACAGTCTGCGTACCAGTGACCTGTCTCGCGGCAGTACAGGCAAGCGTATCCAAATTTTGCGAGGAGAGATTCGGAGTGGCCCTTTCCTTTGTAGAAGGATGCCTTGTCCACGGAGAATTTTGAAGAACCGCTGTTGTTCGGTTGTTGTTCTTCTTTGGACCGTATTTGAGGCGGCTTGTAGAAACCGCGCGGTTGGGTCTTCATGGCCTGGACTGACATCTCGACGTCCGAAGGGATTGTGCCTGGGGGAAGTTGATCTGAAGTGCCAATCTTGCTGAGCGCTGATTGGATGATCGTTGTGACTTCGCCTAGTGATGGGATACGGGACATGTCAAAAAATCCCCGCGTGCTGAGATTTTGGATTTGGGCTAAAAACCAGGATTTTTGTGTACTTTCCCATCTAGGCCCTTCCTCATTCATACTTATCAGATTTCCTTCTGGGCCTGGGAGGGCCTGCCTCTTCCATATACTTCTCACTGCTCACTTTTTTCTGTTATATTGTCATTTTTTTTGCAGAAGCTGTTGAAAAGGACAACTTTTCTATTCAAGTTGACATCTTTTGGTGTGTTCGAGTTGAGCGAACCCCGCGTTTGAGCTTAAAAAAAGTTCAAACCATGATTTTAAAAAATCATCATAAAATTACAAGGGGCTGTCCTGGTTTTGAAATTTGGATAGATTGACAAGATCATCCAGCACTTCAAGAAAATTTTCTCAAACATTCTCAAAGTCTTGAGGGAGCATTGTGATTCTAAATCTTGTGACGCTCCCACCAAAACACTAGAAACTCAGCACCTGAGTTCATTGACCTCTGGCCCAAGTCTCCCCTGCGGGGAGTTCCCTTCGGGAACCGCCTGGCCAGTGCTACGCTGCCAGATGCGCCCGCCGAAGCTGGAGACTTGTGTCAAGTTTGCGGACCCGGCAAAGCCATAACAGTTGCAAAGCTCACAGCGAGTGAGACCAAAGCTGGGAGCTTCATCGTATGGTGTTGCAAGCTGGTCTGGGCACAGGCCCAAGTTGGGCAAAAAAGGGGCCAAGCGGGCTTGGCCGATTCCCAAGCGCGAGTGGCGCCCTTTAAACCCAACTTGGCTCAGATTCAACCCTCACTTGGCACCTCCCCAATTTGGAGCGAGCTTAACATAAGCCTCTTGATCGGAGGGTCCCAAAGGGACACTCTCCGAAGGAGAGGCTTACCTGGCAAGTCAGACTGGCAGCCTGAGTACATGGAAATTTTACCCTGGAAATTGATAATATAGTGTTCAAAATTTAATTACAAATTCAACACAACTCCTTCTCACTCGCCCTTCCGCCTGATGATAGCCTTGCATCTCAGGTATCTCCTGTATTTTTTTTGGAAAAATTACACCAATAATTCGCAGCTCAGTCCCCAGTTTTGCTTGGGGACTCTAACGTGTTGCACCTGCAATTTTTTGGACCTCTCGGATTATGCAGGTGTCGGATCATTGAAAGTCTCACGGTTTTTTTAGTATCATCTTATAACTGCTTTCTTCTTTGACAGTCCTTCTTCCTGTGGGACTATAAGATGGAAGACACAATTATAGTACATATAAATTTAGGGGCTTGGAAAAACGACTCCTAAAAATTAGTCGACGACTCCCGTTTCGGTCGGGAGGTCGTCGAACGGGAGTCGTTCTTCCAATTCCCCCAAAAAATAGGGGAGTCGTCGTCCTAATTTCAATGCCGATTTTTTATTTTTTTTTATTAAAAAAACGGGAGTCGCCCGCCTAAAGGGCGGGAGTCGGCGCCCCAATTTAGCCAATTTTTTTTTATTTTTTTTCATTAAAAAAAACGGGAGTCGCCCGCCTAAAGGGCGGGAGTCGGCGCCCCAATTTATACAACTAATCTAATTTTTTTTTTATTAAAAAAAAAAAGGGAGTCGCCCGCCTAAAGGGCGGGAGTCGGCGCCCCAATTACAACCAATATTTTAACCTTTTTTCTGCATTAAAAAAACGGGAGTCGTCCAACTCAAAACAGGAGTCGTCAACCTCTAGCGACCCTAAAAACTCAAAAAAAAGTTCTGCCACTGGGGCCCTGCCCCAAAGGCACTTTATCAATGATTAAAAATTACATTCATAGAGAAAAACAAATTCAAGAAATAATTGAAATAAATTGATGAGATGTTGAGAAATGTAAACAAAAAAACAATGAGAAATGTCAGAAAAAAACAGGGATAAAAGAATTCAATTGATGAGAAATATAAGAAAACACACACACATGGTAAAAAAGGACAAAGAGGAAAAAAATCAACAA